TTAATTTCCATGATTATGCCTTTAATTCTGCCATTAAATTTGTGATTTGGGGTGGAAAACTGGAGGAAAATGAAGAAGAGTTCTTAGGCTAGATTTTTGAGGTTTGATTGGAATTTTGATATCGGATTTGAGTAAATTTGGTATGCTTAGACCCATGGTTGAATGGGCTTTCAGGTTTTGTGACTTTTGTCAGATTTCAAGACGTGGGCCCGAGGGCCGGCTTTGAACCGATTTTGGATTTTTGAGTTATAACTTCGTAATTTCTTGTGGAATTCATTCTGTTAGCCCATATTGATTATATTATACTGTTTGTGGCTAGATTCGGGACATTTGGAAGCCGATTTGCGAGGCAAAGGTGTGTTGGAGTAGAGTTTCGCTCGGATTGAGGTAAGTAACACTTCTAAACTTGGTTCTGAGGGTTGAAATCCCAAATTATGTGTTATGTGATTGGTGTTGAGGTGATGCACATGCCAAGTGACGGGCGTACAGGCGTGCACCGTGAGAATTGTGACCTGGTCGATTCCATGGCACTGTATAGCGATCTATCTTATTGATATCTGTGTTTTCATCATGTGATAAAGCAATTGAGCTGTCAATCATGCTAGAGATCATGTTTAAGCTATATGTTGGTACTGTTAGGACCCATAGTGGTCGTTTCTTGTTGTTGACTTATTGATTTCATGAATATTTCGTATTCAGTCACATTCATGCATTTCACATCATATCTCAGTCTCTGTTGTTATTTATTGATACATCATATCATCATGTTCGGGCTAGTTTCATGACATTGTGAGCCCGTGAGAGAGACTGGAGAGACTGATGACTGAGTGAGGCCGAGGGCCTTATTATGAGTGACATTTATGGGATCCGACTGCACATCACAGCGGTTATACTGATTTATGATAGCGGTTGGGCTGAAGGAGCCCCTCCGGAGTCTGCAGACACTCCCACTAAGCATGGTTGATTATATTGATGGAGGGATCTTCTTTGGACATGGATCTTGTCCGAAGCATGTATATACCTGGGATGGATCTTCCCCACGGTCTGGATTAGCCCTACCCCATACTAAGTGACTGATGGTCTGTTGATGTATATATTCCGGGATGGATCTTTCTTGGCCGGATTAGCCATATACAGTACTGAGTGATTGAGCACTTGAGAGTGTGAGCACATGAAGCTGTCAGCATGGTGCATCACATACAACATGTGCATTGGCACATAGAAGTAGAGGAATATATTCTTCATATCATTCAGATTTGATTTATCTTACTGTTTTGAGTTTATCTGTTGAACTTGAAAGCATGCCTATATATCTGCACTGTTATTTCAATATAGAAATGTACCGGTTGAGTTGTCACTACTTTTAGTCCAAAGGTTGGATTTGTTACTTATTGAGTTGGCTGTACTCACGATACACCCTGCACCTCGTGTGCAGATCCAGGTGCTTCTAGTCATGGCGGCTGCTGAATGTGGAGTCAGGATCTTGGAAGACTATCGAGGTAGCTGCATGGCGTTTGCAGACCTTGACGTTCCTTCATTATCTTTACTTGTTTTTCAATTTTTATTCTTTAGACATTGTATTAGAGTATCTTCCATTGTAGATGCTCGTGCAATCGGTGACACCCCGGTTTTGGGAAAGATTGTATTGGGTTGCGTATTTATTTCTGTTTTCAAAAGTTTTTCCTTAAATATTAATTGTTTCCGTATTTTTCAAAGCTTTTGGTTATGTTGAAATGGTTGAGTAGTTGACTTGCCTAGTTCCACGATAGGCGCCATCACGATAGTTTGTTTTGGATCGTGACAAAAAAAGCACATTGTACCTCCAGACGAAGGCTCCAAACTAGACCAAAATATGATCCAAATGAAAACATGAATTTTTCTTTTTCTTTTTTTGTATTGCCGAATATGTTATGCAATAATTGTTCTTTGTTTGAGTCTGAAACACAAATAAGCCATCTTTTTAGGAAGAACGATAAGAAAGTATGTCATGTGTAATTTGAATATACTTTTTCGGTTTAAGCTATACACACTAATAATGTAAAAAATAATTAATATTATTAGGGATCATTTAGTTGGTGATATAAGGGATTAAAATTTTAGAATAAATTATGCTATTATTTTATCTCATATTTTGTCATTTTTTATTCGTGGATTAGTAATTTTGGAACTGTTTTACCACAATTGCAATATTATTTTTAATTTAATGTATCTACCAATGAAAGTATATGCACTAAATAATTGTGTTATTAATCTCCGCATTATAATCTCAAAATATTTTGTTCTAAACCAAACGACCTCAGAGTTTAATTTAATATGTTATAAAAAATTACTTATCATTTATTGTAGGCAGCTAGAGTAAGTATTTTTATTAGGGGTATGTGAGTTCCAATTTAACCAATAGACCGAAATAAAAAAAATTATTATTAGTTTATTGGTATGAGGTTATCGATTTAACGGTTAGTAAAGGATTTTGTATAATTTATCCTTTTTTGAACGTTGTTTTTTCATTTTTACTAAAATAAATAAATGTATAAAACATAAAGAACTTGATCCTGCTCTCAACACTCCCCCCCCCCCCCCCC